GGCTTATTGTAAGGGGGGAGGATGGGAGCGACACTCTTGTTTGTGATGGGAGTGTTGTGTGCGCTTTGCCCTTTGAGGAGCTTCAGGATCTTTGCACGACAGCCGTTTATCTGATTACCTGCTAGGACGCATGGTCCTGAGGACGGGCCGTTTCATCCCACTGTGCAACCTGAACTCCAGATGTACACGTCACACACAGTGGAGTCGAGTTAGGACCCAGCGCCACAGTGTGTGTTCGTACCATTTGGCTTGTGATGCTAAAGCCAGAGAGGTTCAGAGTCATCATTTCACTGCTGACAGGTTATTTTCTGAGGCTGACTCAAAGGGAAGGATGGCTCTAAATAATTGGATCTGGAACCGATAAACAGATGAGGAATTGTCTAAATGAGGAGAAATGTTTCAGGATTCTTGGCGCTCTTACAGGTGAACTGGGAAACGTTGATGAGCTGGACAGAATGGAGTGTGTGGCCATAAGAGCGAGTCGTGGAAGCGGAAACTTCCAGTGAACAAATTAGCGGGCTTTTATGCATCCACTGGAAATGATGCGGAAACCTCAGAGGTTGTTGTGATTAAGCTCTTATGCAGTCGTACTGAACTGGTGCTCTGATGCTTCAACACCAGAGAAGAGTTTCTGTCTTACAAATGTCTTTAAAACCTTCCTGAAAAATTATCTTCGAGCCCAGTTCCTGTGTAGGAGCAGACCGGTCGGTCAGGCCAGTGACCCTTCTCACTGGTGGCATAAACAATGAGCTCCGTTTACAACTGGACCATGGAGCAAAATGGTTTTCTGGTCTAATGAATCGTGCTTTTCTTTTATTTCACATGAAACAAGGTGAGTACGCGCAGTTTGTTTCTGCTCCCATGCGAAGCTGTGGGCCGTAATCTTAAAAAGTTAAGTGTCTGTGGGATTTGCTGGAGGACTCCCCTCTCAGCTGGGGAGACTTAAAGGATCAGGAGGACACACAATACCAAGTCAAATGTTTAGTCAGCACACGGAGGCCCTGCACCACATGGAGGAGTTGGTTATGTTGTTGTAGCTGAGAGGTCATGTTAAAATTCTTACTACAACTCCATCATTTCCATCAAATTTGTTGTTTTAGCGTCCAACATGCGTTGTCCATTTAATTCCTTTAGAGTGGCGGGGGGTAAATGGCCTGTATTCAGCTGCCCCTCAGTCCCCCGTCCCCACAGACAGATGTGGTTTAAGCCGCTGCTGCCGGAAGTCTCCGATCAGACCCGGAGCGATCGGGAAGACGGGCCCAGATTGATCGTGTGCAGCTGCTCGCCGCGCACGTAACGGGCACAGACGTGCTGGATGCTGGCAGGCCCCAAAAGGGGGATAACGTGGGCACTGGGCTGTGAAGGGCAGCGCGGGGACGCCTGCGTGTGGAAAGACTCCGGAGGTGTCTGGGGGACTTGGAGACTGCAGAGCTATTTCAGGGGCAGTGGGCTGGAGGCACAGCTATCAACATACAGGAAGGCCAGATCTCCATAGAGATCCACAGGCAGGGTAGGTATACAACAGACCAGGGTCAGTCTCCACAGTACAGCACCGAGGGGGTCTGGTGAGTGTTGCTTTTTCCTCTCGGAATAACTTTGATTCAGTGTTTACCTTCTTTTGCATTCTGCCCTTAGCTGACCCCCACTACACACACACACACACACACACACACACACACACACACACACACAGTATGTATTATTTTTTATGAGTGAGTACAGACTGGTAGGCCTGTTTTTAGATTTCAATGGCGAAAAGAATAACAGGAAGCTGGATAAAGAGCTTCCGAAATTTGTTAACACTTTATATAAAAGCTGGAAAAACCGGAGGGGGTGTTGTTTTCTAAGAGTTCTTGTTAAATGTAATTTTGACGTTTGAACTTCTTTTAAGCGGGAGGAAAATGTTCAGAAGTATGCACGGGATGGTTTGGATTAGGCACAGTGTGCTGTTCTTCACCACAAGTAGCCATAAATCTGATCCAAACCTTCAATCTGACTGGACATTAAATGTTCTAAAGAATCAAAAACTGTAGCTTTGCCTCCATTCCCGACAGGCTGATGCGATGGGAGCATGTGCGTTGTCGTGGCGAGGAAAGCCCAGTTGTCCTTGCATGTATAAAGTCACACCTCTTTATATAGCCGGCCACAGTTGATAATGCTATTAACGGCACACCGTTGGGACCAGCGAAAGCACCACGCTTTGATGTGGACTTCGGTTTGAGCTGCTTGGGGCTTTAACTTTGTTTCTTTCGCCCGCAAGACGAGCATGTGACTTTGCAGCGAGTCCACATCCCCGGGGACAAACAATTTCATCTCGCATGCACGTAGACGGACTCCCAGCGAGGCTGGGTATTTCTGTGGCCTTAGGCTCATATAAGCTCATGTGGAATGTGGCACTTGATTATTTGGCAAACGGGTAAGCAACATGTTTAGATCACACGGTTGTTCTTTGTTCCCTGGAAAACACAATCCTGTGGCTGTTGTGACTTCTGGTGGGATTGTATAACGGCATTAATGCTCTGCCAGTCCTGATAAGGATGTCTGTATTTTAAGAGTAATCAGTTTCATACGGATGCAAAATAAAAACCAGGTTAACTTTGATATGAGCAGACAACAGATTACAATACATAAACTTCCTGTGCACACTTGGGGAAAAAAATATTTTTTCATTATTTGCTGTTTTTTGTTGAAATTGGCCTCTTATGGAGCCTATTTTAGACACCCCATTATTGGCCTTAAGACAGATGCTCTGATGCTGGCCCCCGACGAAAGGTGAAGTTGCTCATTGATCTAAAAGAAGTCTGTTCACATTTGGCATTATGGGAGGTCGTGGGTTGCGTCATCAGAGGCCAGACCACGGGTACCTGCTGTTACAGAACATCCTCTCCCCGTTCTGGGACCGTTTAAGTCAACAAACAGGACGAATTGCCCTTCCCGCTGAATTGAAACTAATAGCTGACCAGAGGCACATCACAATCAGGCATTAATTTATTAACCATTCACCTGGGCCTCATTTGTGGACAAATGGTGGCCGGTCAGGGCAAACGTGGTACAGATTAAACGCCAGTCAACAAAAGGAGTAAATGAGTTGTGATTGTGTTAACTTTAAAGCTTTTGACCTCTAAACATTCTCCTCCTCTCCTGCAGGCTGTCGGCTGTTTTCTGCTGTCGCTCTTTAAAGAAAAGGAAAAAAAAGTTATTGACGTCTGTTTAGTAAATCCAGCTAGGTGCCACTTTTTGTAAAGGCTACTAAAGTGAGCGGTAATCTTGTGTTGAGCGGAGCCCCAAAACCTGGCCCAGGACTAAACCTCTGAATGAGGCCTGGTTGATCAGGTCTAAGTCCTCAATCTGCTCCGAGTTGGTCCACTTTCATGGGGCGGGATCACCTGAGTCCTGCATTGGTACCAGATGGAGGAAAAAGGCCGGCTCTTGTTTATTCTTTTGCTTGTGTGATAACCAACTCGTGTGTGACTTTGTCACTCTTGTCAAGTGAGAAAAAGCCTGTCATAGTTATTTTGAGTGTGTTCAGGACTTCCCCATGAGAAATGCAGTGCTTGTTTCTCATGTGAGCCCATAGAACATACAACTGGTCCAGCCCTTTTCTACCACGCTAGTGCAGATTTTTTGGAAAGGAACAAAGGTTCACTGTTCACCTGCTGACAATGTTTGCTTCTTAAATCACCACATCAAGATATCGATGGAAATGTAGTTCCACATACTATCCCATCTACTGAATATACTAAAGGTCAGATAGTTTATGCTTTTCTGGTCCAGGTTTAAGAAATCTTAATGGATACTTTCCTGTCTCAAACTTGGCAAAACCAAAGAAAATCCAATAAGTTTTATTTTCATTTGGGTTTAAAGTGGAGGCATTTTCTAAGGTTTCTCAGTCCTGCCGTTTACATATTTTGCTGATAAGTATGTGAACCACAAACCTCTCTACCTAATCTCCTGAAAAACTCATCTCTTTTGGATCAGTATTGTCACCAGCTCATTTAAAGCGTTCACTTGACAGTAAGACCTTTCTGCAATGGACGGCTGGGTAAAGATGGGGATCAATACCCTGACTGAGGCACTCAGCATCTCCAATGTGTCAAACGGGGTTTAGTTCTTAAATCTGGATGTCTGACCTGTGAGCAGATAAAAAATCAGTTAATGGAGAGCAAAACCCCAGAAACCCCTGAAGTATCCACCGTTTGAACCGATGGAAGGACATTTTCTCCTGGCATTTGTGGTCAGGTTTCAGGGTTTTTGTTTGCTTTTATTCTCGGCTTTGTCTTGCTCTTGTGGTTTTTTAGAGGTAAATGTCTCGGATCTTCCCGACTCGGTCCTTTGTTGGATTCTTTATCAAATCCTAAAGTTTTAGTGATCCTAACATGACTCATGCTGCCCTAAATTACAAAAATGTTATTCATACTTTGTTTCATGTCTGTTAACTCGATGACGAAAAAGAGTCACTGCTCCTAAAGCAAACCTGAAGAGGTGTGACAAGTGATAGGTGTGCCATTGACTTCCAGATTAATGTCATCACACCCATCTTTGAATATTTAACTAGAATGCCTCCACTCCAACTTATTTATGAATCACTACACACCGTTTCCGCGAGGAAGTGCGGACCGTTCGTAAAAAGGCTGACTCAGTCTTTCCCGGCGATATACATTTGTTACTAAACGTAAACGGGTTTAAGGGTTAAAACATTCAAATCCCCCTTTCGGGGAGTGTTATGAACCAGTATTGATCCCCAGAGTTAAACTTCCACTCTCTGTGTGCATGTGTGTCAGACAGATCAGCCCCACATTGTCTGGGCAGCAGCCTCTGACTCAGTGTTGAATGGGTCTTGGAGTCACATGGCTACTTGTCAGCAGGCTGGAGGAGGAAACATAATCCCGAGGAGGACGACTGCCGTTATCAGTCCGTTGGCGTTGGTCTGAGAGAGCGCTCGGTCTGACGAGAGGCAGAGCGGAGCGCCCGTCGTCTGACACGCCGCACATCGCCATCGCTCATTTTGATTTTTTCTCTCTCTCTCTGTGTCTCTATCTTTTTCTTTCTCCTCTGTTTGTTCTCCCCCTGCACTCTGACCAGCACGTTCACGGCAGAGTTCAGAATTGCACTACCATGTCTGCGGTGGCTTCTCTGCAGTAAGCACAAAAAGGTATAGTACAATCAGGGGTTCTTTTTATCTTTATGGGACAAAGTGTTTTCATCAGTGTTTTTTATTACAAATGTTTAACCTTTTTATCTAACCCTTTACCAGTTTTGTTAATTATTCTCTGTAAGTTTACCATGAGGTGCTTAATAAGCCGCCTAAAGAATAATGAAACTCAAATCAAATGACACTGACTTCCTGTCTGAACCATATTTTATTAATGCGGAGTTGACTTGGACCCTAATGCTTTCTAACCAATTGTAAACAAATGCTCCACAGGCTGCTTTCTGCCCTCTGGGTTGTCTTATTAATCCTGAGTAAGAGGCTTTTACAGACCATGTTAGTGGGAATTTATGGTTTTCTTTTATATTGTAGCCTTCCCCTGGAGTTTTTTTTTTTTCTGCAATCAAAACGTGACCCATTTCTTCTGTTTTTTAAAGATAATTTGTCTGCTCATTATTAATCAGGCACATGGCTCTTTGTGTAGTCTTTAAAAGGCGATAGGAGCTTAGATTCTCTGCTTTTAAAGGCAGCGCCTCAGACGTTAAAGCATTTTATCTTGTTGGATAAAACATTAAGGACACTAACTATCTGTCACTTGGAGCTCTGGCAGCAGAAACCTTGTGTCCTCAGACATGCGTTGTCTGCTAACCAAACACGCCTGCTGTCTGTCTTTCATTTTAGTATAAACTTATGTTTAATGGGGCTTTATCCATCTATTCTTCCCTGTCATTGTCCTGTTTTGGGAATAACAGGACTGTGCGTCGGTTGAGGTTTAGGCATTGCGATCAAGCGTCTATTTCTGGTCAAAGGCGTCTTTTCTGGCCCTTTGTGCATTTTATCGAGCCGTTCTCTAATTACGCTGTTCTGAGGCATGCCGTCTGCGGTGGGCTCTCGCGAGCCCAGCTCTGGATGGAGGCCGTCGCTGGTCGGAGCGCCTCTTCAGAAGACTGTTCAAGACGCATGCAGGCTTGTGTCGAGAGTTCAAGTCTGGCTCGCGACCTCTGTCCTACCGTTTACCTTTCGCTGTCTTCTCCTTATCACCAAAAGGAGACATGGTGTGGAATTTTCAACCTTCCTCTTTGGCTTTAGCTCCGAGACTCTCATCAGATGATGAGAAGTTTTAAAGTGCATTGTTTTTAAAGATCCTTCAGGTTTTGAAATGTTTTTTTCATAGGTAAGATATCTGCTAACTAGCTGCTAACACAGTGTTGAACATCTGGGTGGGAGTTCTGCAACCTGTCAGCACTGCTCCCTCCCCTGACACATGTCAAACTTAAATTGTTTTCATACTCCAATCCTCTTTTCCCTTGAGGCTATCTATCATTCTTCTACAGAGATGGGAGGTGGTTAAAGAAAATTGTTTTATTTCCCAACCCAGCCTTCACATGTTCTATAGACTGAACATTGACTGGTACATGCAGGCTCTTTTGGAGTCCCTTTTAAGGGTCATTTTTCTTGACCACTTATTTCCATCGGCCATAATGCAAACGCGATAGCTTGTACCCCGTAGTGAACCTGTACAGGAGGCAGCACCATGCTGAGTGCTGATATTTTCGGTGGAGCTTGATGCTTTGAGTTCCTGTGTTATTCTCCAAGTGAGCTTCTAATTTCTGTTCTCTATGTATTTGACATTTTTAAGCGCAGTAATGCAGCTTGAGCTTTCAAGAAGTGTATATACAGAGTACCAAATTCAAGAAAAAAGCCACAAATTGGAGAAATAAGCCGTTCGTTTCATATTGTTTCTTTCTACACAGTTTACTTTCATAAGTCCTCATGAAAGCAGCCACGCCTCAGCGCAGCCGTTCCTCCATTCACTGCTCTGTCTGGGCAAATGTCCTCTTCTAAATATGGATCACAGCACAAAATTCTACTGATGTTTAACTAAATCCATGTTCCAAACTGGGTTATGACTGGTTTGTTCATAAGAACAGTTCCTAAGAATAATCAGTATTACTTCAGTAGTACCATAGATATTTATTTTTCTCTTCCCTCGTTTGAAAGGAGACTTGAGACCGGGAGTTGGGTTCCTCCAGCATCTTGCCATCATTTAATCCCTCAGATGAGATCAGGAGTCTCTGGAGTCTGCAGGGTGGCCTGTTCTTCTCATTTCAGAGCTTTAGGACAGGTTATTTACAGGTTACATGTTGTAAGCTGTCAGTAACGAGTATATTGAAATGTATGGCTCATAGATTCCCTCCAACCAACCCTATGGTGTTTCAGATGGATTGTCACACATGTGACCCAATTGTATTCTTTGCTCTCAGCATCCACGTGCTCTCTGTGACTGACAGAGGAGGAGCGTGTTATCCTGTGACAAGCCAAGTTAATCTGTCCAGTCTGGCAAAGGGCACATCCATACATCTCACACCAACCCAAGTTAGCCTTTAGCTTTAGGTCTGACCCACTCATTTGGGTTTTTTTGCACATTTCTTATAAATGTTGTAATTCCAAATCTGGTTTCTTAAAAGTTCAAAGCTCCTCTGAGAGGCGTCAGTCCTCAAAAGCTGCCACCTTCCTGTTTTTACACCCATCTCCTCCGGGAAGGACTTTTTTTTTTCCCCCCAAAACACCGACATGCACACGTTTTAGCCAATGGCCAAATCTCGCATGGAGGAGTTTGGAACTTAAGAGGGAAAGGTTCTGTATGTCGTTTATTTCAGGAGCACTTTGCAAGGTATCGAGCTTCTGCATTCCTCCAGGAAGACACGAACAACTTGTCCTCACTTCCTCTTGCACACTCAGCACTCATCCAAGCCCTTCTGGTCCTTTCAGTTGTTACACAAGAGGCGGTCAGTTACTTTTTGACAGACCGAGTTGAACCTGATGACAGCCAGAGTTTTGATCACCAAAGACCAGTTTTTTTTTTTTTTTTTTTTTTTTTTTTTTTTCTTATTTTTTTTTTTTTTAATCAACTTGAAAAGATCATAACAGCTGATATTGTTTTCCCTTTCTGATCCATATTGTTATCCTTGCGGTATTATTACGGACATGCCCAGAGGTAGACTCGCTGCTTCCCAGGGATGTTACCCAGGATCCCAGGGTTCAGTAACTTGATCCCTGTGTAGCCAGCCTTGCCTCTTTCACAGTGATTGGGGTTTAGGTTTACTGAGAAAGTCATTTTCAAGCACAACCAGGCTAACTGACTCAGTCATTACTATTACAGCGTGCAGTTCAGGGTCTCTGTATGGAGACAAATTACAGTCACTGCCCTGTTTCCTCTGTGGCTCAGTCTGAGGTTGTTTAGTTTTGCCTCATACTGCTCCTATGTATCTCTGCGCTGAGTTTAATCTCGCCATTGAGCGCTAATGAAACGGTTATTAAAGCCTTAACTATCAACAAGGTCACGATATGATTGTCTCCTGGCATCAGAGAGGCTTATCGCTTGTTTTATAACTGCTGTCAAGAGGCCAGGCTCATTTTGGCAGAGCATTATTTCCTACTCTTTAAAAATCAAAGCAAAGGAGCACATTTAATATGATTTTTTTTTTTTAGACCTACTGCTTTGTTTGTAGTGTTGCCTGTAGCATACTTTGGTAAAGTCTCAGGGGCTGACGCTGCTTATCAGAGGGTCTTTTGCACGGTAGCACTTTATTATCTGACTGTTATCTGACTTAATGATTGTTAACCTTGCAACTAGGGTAGTTTCCAATAAAGAATCACTGAAAGGAGCTGGTTTTTCAAACCACTTGGTGTGCATCTTTGGCCATTGAAGAGCTTGTTTGGTGTCTTATGTTTATCCATCCGTATGTTTTACTTCATATTTTTGGATGAGGGATAAAAGTTAGGAGCAGTAAATTAAAAAAAAAAAAAAAAAAACATGCATAAGAAAAATATCCAACTCTTAAGAACAAGGGAAAGAAGTCCAAAAGCGAGTTATGCTTAATACCGTTCTGACCTATTGGCTTAATTTAATATTGAAAACATTCTCTCATCGCATATCTTTTTCAATCTTCCATCTTGCCCAGCCCCCCCCACCCTCCATATTCTAAATCTCTGCTCTCATGAACTAACACCTTTTTATCTCTATCTGCCTCCAGGTTATGCTGCCCAAAAGCTGTCTGAGTCCCAGTGAGAAAGAGAAGGGCTAAAGCCACTGCAGCACAACAGCTTCTACGCGTCTCCTCAGCAGAGCCATGAGCAACCCCAGCCCCCCCAGCCCCCCCCGCCCCCCCCGCCAGGTCACCAGCGCTGTGGCATCGGCCGTTCACGGCGTAAGTTTCTCGGTTCTTTTTGCAATCAACTCATTGATGTTTCTTTTGTAATAACTTTAGTTTTATTAGGATCCCCATTAGCTGCCAAATAAATGGCCACTAGTCTTCCTGGGGTCCTCACATATAGAAATTACATTACATTATGAACAAACCATTACAAAAAATCACAGTATAATAAGTATTTGACCCCTTGCTGATATTGCAGGTTTGCCCACTTACAAAGAATGCAACGATCTATAACTTTAATCATATGTACATTCTAACAGTGAAAGACAGAATCCCAAAGAAAATTCCAGAAAATCACATCATACGAATTTATAAAAATTGATAACCATCTGATGAGGAAAAATAAGCATTCTTTGTAAGTGGGCAAACCTGCAAAATCAGCAAGGGGTCAAATACTTATTTCCCCCACTGTATGTGTTTATATAGATAGATAGATAGATAGATAGATAGATAGATAGATATAGACAGTACTTTATTGATAATAATAAGGTCTTAGCTATGTCACACTGGTAGGTAGCCAAGTAATCGACATTTCGTTGTCAAGATTCACCTTGTGTTTATTGTACAATGACAATAAAGTAAGTCTAAGTCTGCCCTCCTGCACCCGGGGACAGCCAGGCCCCACCGCCATCAGCCATGTGGTCAAACCCAATTGGCCTTCCAGAGCTTCCTCTGTTTCGGTTCGCATTTTCCCCGGGCTGGATTTGTGCTGCATCAGCTTCCTCGCCGCTCTCTGGCGCTGAAGTGTGTTTAATTTGGACCGCGCCGTCGCCTCTACCACTCTGTGTGTACAAATCTAGTCGCATGTAAACCCTCTGCCAGCGTTCAGCAGCTCTGACTGCAAAAATGAAAACACTCAGAATAGCTCAAATATGCACAGAGGGCTCTTCTGCTGAAACTTCCCTCTCATTAAAATATCCAGAGCGCCAAGTCCTCAGATGTAACTCTTCCCTTGTCCTTTCCTTCAGGACAAACTGTTGCCCCTGTTGGACACAGTGGAACAATATTCACCTTTAATAAAAAGCTGATTAAATAGCTGTGGGGGGGATTGGTATAATGGTTATGGCTGGCAAAGCCCTGGGAGCAGCATTCCTGTGCTCTGAACAATCTCAACAAGCTTGTCTCATGATTAAGACGGTCTAGTAGTAAATATGATGAGACCTAAGGGAAAATCTACCTCTCATATCGGCAGTTTGCTGTTTGTCCCAAGATTACTTTTGTGTGTGTGTGTGGCAGAATTCCAGGAATGGTTTAATTTCATAAGGTATTGTGGCGTTTAATATGGGAGAGCAGCCCGTCTCTGTTGGTTCCAGAAGTGCTTTTGAACGGAGCAGATTCAAAAAGTCTTGTCTTTTAACACAGCACCAATTTAGGAAATGTCTGCCTTCCCTTAGCGTTCCAGTTTTGTCAGCATTATGAGAGCTGCTTCCTCACTTGGCACGACTATGTGACCGAGCTTACGCCTCCTGCCTCTACCTGCGTAAGAACTCAGGAGGCTTTCTGGGCAGATGTGAAGAAGTTGTCTGAAACGAAACCCCACTAGTTTATGCTGAAAATGGGAAATGTTATACATGTAAGTGGATATCTGGCATTTAAGAACAATGAAAGATGTGCAGCAAAGTTATTTATTTGACTAGCTATTGAATGCGGCGCAAAGAAAAAAACTAGATTTATGAAAAGGTTAATTGAATTTTTGAGGTGCTTTTTTTTATTTTTATACATCTGCTAAAAGAAACCACATCTTTCGGTCAGTATTGATTTATTTATCAAATAATAAGGTATTACTGGGCACAACATCTTTTATCATCATCATCATTAGTTATTTGGTTTGGAGTGAATGTCACAAAATGGTGGAAAAATTGTAACTTTTAACAAGCAGAACCCTGAAAAAAAAAAAAGGTCCCCCAGCTGGACAGAGTCCCCAAAGTAGACGGAGAACAGAGATGAAAAATAAGAGCAGGATGGGTAGATCAGAAGGTTTTTGAAACCAGAGAGGCCTGTGGAAGATGACAGGAGATGACTCATAATGCATATTTGATGACACAAAATCGCCCCATATTCTAAAAATGCACAGAGAGCAAAGAAGAGAAGGTGCTCCGTACATCCTGGGGGCCTGATCAGCGGAAAAGGGTTCAAGGTCACCTGAGCCAGTTCTAAATATACTCTTTGTTTTGATGCGGAGGGCAGTGATGAATTACCGAGTGCTTTTTATTCGCTGATGTTGGATTCGCAGTCGTCATGGTCAAAGTTTCACTCAATGGCAGTCATCCATCTTTGCTGTTTGCTGTTGGTTGGACCGGTGAAAGCCATGAAAACCTGCCATTGTTGTGGGCAGGAATATGCCACGGCTATTTTAAGGCCTGCTGATCAAGAAGCCCTTTGAGATAAAACTGTTTGCGTTTGCACCTGCTGGCAGTTATTGGCCGCGTCTTGGCTTTGACTCTGCCACGTTAATTATTATCCACTCAACAATGTCTGCTTGTCTGCATGCGTCTTTCCATAAACCCGTCTGGAGAATTGTCTACCATGTGTGCTGCTCATGCTCTAGGAGTGGAACACCGAGTGTAGATGTCTAAGTGCTAATCTGCTAGTTGCACAACAGCGTCTCGACGTAGTTTGATGGACTTTCTTTATTCTTTAAAGGTGAGTTTTGTCTACTCTGAGCCCAGAGGATTCACGTTCATGTGAAACCAAAGCGTGGTTTCACTTCATTTTGATATTACTTTCCTTATTATTGGTGGTCAGTTATTATATTGTTGTGAATACAGCAAACAGAGACTTTGTGAGCCAAACATGTTGCCTAACTTTGGTTTTCCAGGTAAATTTAACCTTTTCGTGAACTCTGCCGCTGGTTAATGTTCACTCCAGTGTCAGCGCTTTCAAAATGGACTCTTACTTCGTCAGCACGTTTCACGGGTTTTCTTTTTTCCCCCTTTCAGTATTAAAAATTCAGGGTAATGATTATTCTCTAAGGATATTTCAGTATGTCACTGGTTACAGATGGTCACCCCTTGAATGTCAGCAGTTTTCTCACAAGCTTTAGCTTTCCTCTTTCCCACATGTTTTGTGTTTAAACGGAAAATTAGTCAGCAATCCTGTTTATTTCAATAAGGGGTTTATTTCTTGTGGAAAGTTCCACGTTTCTCGCACTGATATCTCAGAGGTCAGGGTTCACTGTGCCGAAGAACCTTGAGTAAACATCTTTCAGTTTTGGCTCGCACTTCTTTCAGGGAAAGCTTGACCGTTTGGAGCAAAAACACTATTTGAATCCAAGTTTTAAAATTAAAATGCCTCAAACATAAACTATTAGAAGGGCCGGCCAGATCCTGTATGCAACATAGTTGCTCATATGTAACGCACAAGAGATATGCCATGTGGACTTTTAGAGGGAAGATTATGCAGCTCGAACAGCAGACGCACAACTCTCATTAGAAAACAGAAATATGAGAAAACTCAGAGCGAAACATTATGTTTCCATGTTCCGTGTTTATTCCGTCACATGTGGAGCGTCTGGGTAACTTTATGCCACATACACCTTCTGTAAGCTGTTATCAGGTCCTCATCCCCGTGCGCAGGTGTGAACTTTGACATTCAGGTGTTAGAGTGTCACTCATGGGGGATGAGCTGCCGGTCAACGATCAGGAACGGCGCTTTGTGACTCACGCCGCGTCCCGTTGCATCAAAATCAGTCCATGACGAGCACCTGGCAGCTCCTACAGAACTCCCTGCTTCCAGCGGCCACTTTTTATCAGAGGGGATTCTTTGATTCAGATAAAACGAAGGAGTGAAAAGACTCATTCAGGCTCCCACGCATTGAATCCTAAAAATAGCTTTTAAAGGGAATCTCACCAAGTGAGCCCAAATCCTTGATCTGGAAATGTTTTTCTGGTTTCCTATTGGTTCAAAAGCTCCAGAGTCTTAAATTATTGATTTATTTATATCAAGGAGGCTTGTTTATTGGAAAAAAGGAAATTCAGGAGTTCTAATCAGTGATGCAACAGAAAGGTGGTGACAGCCTGTTTGCAGAATAGAAATTTCCTTTCTTTTTACAACCTGTGTTTTTTGGAGTAACGTGAGAATATTGTGTACTTGGGTTTCTTTGCAGAGTCATGTTAAGATATGCAGGAATGCAGTGACATATTAGCCACATGGTCTGACATGATCAGTAGAGCATCTGCAGTCTGTCCCTCTCTGTTCCCGGGAAGTGCTGACTGTGTGGGATTTGAAACTACCTCAGGACAAAGATAATCTCTTGCTGCCTCCACATACTTCACACTTGAGCACACAACACGGTCATCAAACAAGCACACTACTTTTTAGAACCTGTAGCATTAAAAAAACACACAAAATGAATTCCACAGTATAGTTGTACTATTATATATATTATATGTAGTATTATATATTTTATAAAGTACTTTTAAACGTAAATTTAACCACAAGCATATGGTTATTATGCAGAACTTGCTATTTGATCACGGTAGCTCGTTTCATAATATTTGCTAAAATGGGCCTTAATAAAGCTCCATTTAGAAAAGTTGAATCACTTCAATGCTGAGTTCTTGTGCATTTTAATTGCCCTTCAACACATAACGAGCTTCTCTGTGAATTCTCTTTGTGAATAATTGTTCCTTTAAACGCAGCATTGTCATATGTCCTGAAAGCCTTCTTATGAGTCTTGTTCTGCCCTTCGTCATCTTCTAAATTGGTCAATTTACTGGCAGGTTAGCCAACAGGTTTAAGATTTGACTACTTAAAGGCTTTGGGAAGCAGGAGGACACCTGTGACTGTAAACTGTGCTCCTAAGCTCACATTCCCAGTAACGGAAAACTAACTCTAACCTCAGGGAAATGTTGATCTTTTTTGGTCAAGCCAGTTTTGTTTTTACTCTGCTCCCTGGGGTGTGTTTTTGCTCGAGGTGCCAGTTGTGGAAAATTCTCTCACTTGTTTGAGAATCTATAACACATCCCTCCCAGATCTCGGGATTCACTGTGAAACTACGATATCTTTCTGAGGGCTCTGAAAAAATATTTGCTCCCAAGATGATTGACAATTAGAAATGAACGACAGAGAAACATTTTTTGATCATTTTAAATCCTCGTTTTGAAAACACCATTCCACCATTTTGTTATCAAATTCGGCCGTCTTTAATAAGAAGTGTCTGATTACAGAATTTACAAAAGTTAAATTGTTTGTAAGGAAAATGAACCTCTAGATGATGTTGAATGAGTGGCTAAAGGTTCAAATTGTGCAGTTCATCGGAGGGCCGTGTCCCTCTGTCACCTGTCTGTGGCATCTCAGATGAGGTCATAGTAAAACATGGGTCATGGGAATGCCTTTTTCACAGTTGATTGCGCCTGCTTCTATCTGAGCTCTGATGCAGCAGCGTTTCCTGTCCACGTTAAGCTGTCCTGATGGATTTGATGAGCTTGCGTCCAGAAGATCCGTTGAAAGTGTCGCGTCTTTAAGTTGCTCCCTGTTCTTTTCGTTTGATCTGATTTGTTGCTCTAGGTAGGTTGAAAGAGTTGTTTCTGATTTGTGTTTTTTGTCCAGAACAGTCTCTGCTTCATGTTGCGTCCAACATCTACAACGTTGCATCTGTTTGTTACAAGAGAATCAAGTAGAAATGTTAAGGTGGAACTGGTTTGAGCCACTTTACCTCCAAATAAAATGACCAGATTAAGCGGTTTGAGTGGTGGCGCTTTGACGTTCTTTGTGAATTTGCTTAAAGAAGGAGCCCCAGGTGGAAAAGGGTAATATCATCCCCTCACACGCTCCTCTTTGCTGCCTGAAGCACAGAGGAGGCCCCTACACACCACTAACATGTCATCATGAGAATCACTCAGAGCTCAGAGGTGACTCGTCACCCCTGAGCTCTGCCAAAGGAAGGATTCGCTGCAGGATGCACGCATACCTGCACGGTAGCTATGGCAACGCTTCATCTGCAGCTGGGTGTCTTTTCCACGGCCTCCTCGGCAAGAGTGGATCCATCCTTATCACAACAGCCCACCTACTGGGCCGGGCGCAGCGAGCTGCTGCAGGAAAACAGATCTCTTACCTTCCGTGTGATCCAGGTCACGCTGCAGCCTGGAAACGGTGAAACCGATCAATGCACATGGCTGTTGTCTCCAGTTTAAATCTCATCTGTAGGAGAGCATGCATGTGAGGGCCGATCATGTGATGTCTGGACAGAGACGCGTTCGCAGGTCTAGAGCTCCCTCTAGTGTCAGTTAGAGGAATGGCAGGGACTCATTGGTGGGATAGTAAAAGGGTAAAAAGATGGTCGTTTATGAGGGCTCAAAGATTTAAAGAATAAAATGCATTCAGACACACAGCTACAGTGGATGATATAGTTACAGGAGATGCCGACTCTGCTTCACATTAGAGTTTCCTCTACCAGCCCTTCCTGAATTAAGTTAAACGGCTATGAAATGGACCTTCTTCTAATTTAATTTCTCCTGCAACTCCAGTAGACTGAGATGTGGCAAGAAATGAAAAGTAATTTCATTTTGGCATTTGTTGGAGGGTTTAGCTTAACTATTTTATTTATTTTTTATGTTCAGCCCGAGGCTCCTGCCGCCTCCTCCCGACACGGCGTTCCGCGCCCAGAAGAGGAGGACGACGGGGATCTGAATAAAGCTTTGGGAGTCCAGCGCTTCCAGCAGATCCTCCGCCCCGCTGCTTCTGTGCCTGACGAGCAGCACCACACCTGCCATGAAGAGGACATTGAATGTAAGAAGGGGAAAAAAAGAGTGGCTTCTATATGCTGTTTTCCTCCCTCTGCATGCAGACACGATAACGCTAAATGCTTTGTGACGCGGGTCCATCTCTGTGCTCTACCTCTGCAGACCACCGTCACTCTTCCCATCACATCCACCGGCCTCTGTCCAAGCTGCCCTCTGAGGGGCGGAGGAAGAAGAGCGGCAAGAAAAGGAGAAAGGACAAAGATCACAAAGCCAGCAGTGTTCCTAGCAGTGGCCCCATAGAAGAGGGAGAAGATGAAGAGGAAGAGGAAGACGAGGGGACAGAGTCGACCTCTGGACCATCTGAATCAGAGCGACCCAGAGATGTGGAGGTAATCATGTGGCTTCGTACTGGTCTTTTCTGGTGGATTAGGAGTGTAATAAACAGAATTAATCTGTCGGAATATAAAAAATGTTGAAGAATTACTGGTAATAAATTGAAGTAAAAACAAATTTTCCCACATGTTGGTTTTGAATCTTTTTAATCTTAAGGGTCACTTTAGGATCTTTGTATAAAATCCTGTAGTGTTCAATGTTCAAGTTAGGAAAATGAACCTCTAGACTTACTACCACCAGATTGTTCTGACCCAGGAATAAACCTGTACATAAACCTGGTCTTTTTAAGTGTGCAACATGTGACACTGTTATATCATTGAGGGGTCATGTGCCATCGCTGTGAACACGGTGTATCCAAAGTCTGCAACATGAAAATGGTGAAATATTTTAAAAAGTTAGACAAAATAATCATCTTGAAGTATCAGAAAACATACACTTAAATTTTCTTCCCATGTTTATAACAATGTTATTACTGATCAGTTATCATTATTTTTTATCTGTACATTTATTTCAGTAAAGGTCTTAAGATGATTTTAGGATGAATTCATCAGAATTTGATGTAATTTTCTGTCCTCTAAAAAAACATTAGACATTAAGTTTACGTCATTATAAAATTATCTAAAGCTCTGAATCACCCTGTTCCAGATGCTGGTCAGTTAGTGTTGTACAATTACCATATTTTCCTCTATGAATATTTCAGTATAGCCTCAATCATTCATCAGCTGGTTTCATGTTAGCTGGGTGTTATGATGCAAAACCAGACCTGACATGAGCAGAAAGCAAGTGAATGGTGTCAACTGCATCGTAAGAATTAATTGATAATTAGAAGCGATTGTATTTAATATAATGTATTATCATAAACTTATGTGCATTTATTCCTCAAAATGTTCCAGCTGAATTACCTAAAATTAGACATTGTTTTCCATGTTTTTCTATTTTTGTTTATACTTATACTTTTCCAGTTTTGTGTTTTCTTTCTGGACATGGAAACTGTTCTTTCAGTGAACAATATCCTGTGTTCTTACGTCCTCGGACTGTTTGACCTTTTCCTTATTTTTATCACAGATATGTACACTGGTGTCTAAAAGGCTCTGACTATAGATGAGACTTTGTTTAAACACTCTATGAACTAAATCCTGACTCCCTCTGTTTTACCTCTGCAGTTCTTCCTGTCGGATGAAGACCAGTTGGCCAAAAGTGGCAGAGAGAGCCCACACTCGCCCAGAGAGCTGAACATTGTACCACAGGCTGCTGTGGAAGCAGAATCTGAGGCCTCCTCCACTGAGTGAGCATGATCACATTCTCCCTTTTTAAAAAAAACACTTCTTTTCTCTCCAATCGAGCTGAAACCACTGCATAGGTAACAGGTTTGTGTCTGTTGGACTGTGAGGCGCACAGTCTTTGTTACCATGTTCCAGGCATCCAGTAGGCCTGCTGGGCTTGATCTGATTTGCCAGAATTATCCTCTCCTCAGACCCATAACTCACCTGTCGCTATAGACAACACCAGCACCTCAGCAGCCTGAGGCTCCTCCTTATGACATTTAGTTTCCCACCCGATAAGGATTTAATCTGAGCCGGGGTGAAGCTGCGTTACATCATTAGCATCTTTTTCAGTGGACTAGAGAGCAGCCGAAACTCTGAAGACTCGCTGTGGTTTTTTTAATGAAACATCCTAATATTCAAACCAGCTCTGGAATACTTTTAAAAACGGGTTTTTAGACGGTAAGTTGTTTAGGTTTAATTAGTTATGGCTGCGCTTGTCAGGGATACAGACGAATGCTTTAATATGTGGAGCTAGATATTAGTCATTCAAAGCTAAACCACTCTGTGACTTTGGGGGAAAAAACTGGTCTACAAAGATAGAGGATAAAAGTTTACATTTCAGTAGCAGTAATTTAATTGAGTTTTTTCTCAAAGTGCATTGTTAATGCTGTCACAACCCAAAAAACTGAACAAAACAGAAACGAACCCTGAATCAGCCATATCTTGGCGCCTGCGTTTCCTCAGCAAACCAGCTCCGGTGGAGGCTCCCAGCCCGGCTCCCCAGTCCCCCGGACACCCGCCGCTGGCCCGGGTCTCCTCCGCCGGCCGCAGCTACGACCTGCAGGAGCGCCGCCGCACCGGAAACATGACGGGCGCCGAGCAGGCCAAGTACCAGCGCATCCCCACAGACGAGAGCGAGGCCCAGACGCTGGCCTCCGCCGACCTGGACGGCATCAAGAGTGAGTGATAAGTTTCGCTTTGTGCTCCGTCTGAAAGCACAGACCTTTAGCAGAAAGCAAATCCCTAAAGCATTATCAAAGTTGTCTGTGTTTTTGCTTCATTATTTAAACAGAAACAGAAATACTTTAATAATCCCCCAGAGGGAAATTATTTTTGTTACTAGCCCCATGGGGTGTAGTAGAATAGTCCAATTTAGTTTGCATTTTTCTGATCCTGCTTCTGTAAAGAAACTACCTGTTAGAGAGACTCCTCTGTACATAAACAGCTGCCTGCTTTTAGTCTGCATCTTAAACGTGACATGATGTCATGGTGTTGTGTATAAAAGGTGCCCTCAGTTCGCAGTGAAGGGCGTTAAAACAACAACAAACAGTCGTGCAGGAGTGTACAGTACAGTTTTGAGACCAGCCTGTCTGTAGAGCATCGTGATCCTCTGTTTATAATGGTGAAGGCCGCAGGATATGGTTTATGTCAAGGTTTAATTCAATTTAGCTTTACTCCATTTGTGGTAATGTCCCTTTGGAGGGTGCTCAGTTGTTTTTTTTGTTTTTTTGTGGTGACTCATTATTACTTTAGGCTTAGTTACCACAGTGCTAAAAATGGGCATAAAAGAAACTACAACATAAGATTCAATATTTGGTCTGAGCTTCTTTATTCTCTAAAATGGACTGAACCTGCTTAGTCAAGCTTTCATGTAATTGCATTAGGTCTTCAGTCTCCAGGAGCAGCTCTCCAGGCTTCTTTAAGGATGTCCCAAAGCTCCTCTTTGGGTGTTGTTGCTTTTGGCTCCACTTTTGTATCCATCCCTCCATCAGAGCTGCTGCCACTTATTTTCAGTCCACTTCTGGTTCCTCTGGCAGAGCTCAGCCCTTTTCTCCCCGTTTCCCTTCCTTAAGAATGGAAGACAGCCCCCCTTCCATGGAGAGCATTTCTGTCGTGCTTGGGTCCACAGGTGTTGCCCCGCTGGTTGGCAGGATTTTGCTCTTCCCTTTTTTTTTTTTTTTTTTTCTTTCTTTCTTTTTTCTCCTGGTGTGATTTATTTATTGTTTCTTCCTTTTTAAAACTTTCTACTTTTTAACACAAATGGTCTTCTCTGAATCAGTAAAATTCCAAATGATCCTTTTACCAATTTCCTGGCAACATTCTTGTAACTTGAGTTTAAAATTAATTCTTTAAGTTATCTGTACTCCGGTACAACTCGTACAACTCTGGTTCACCCACTGAGTTAGGTGCCCTTTGTAAGCTTGAACCAACCTTCTTTCATCTACATCTTTAATACCCACTCTTCACAACAACTTCCCGGAGACACCTGCTAAGCACCTGATAGTGACTCTTGCTTGGAGAAATTCGTTTTAAGCATTTTTTTTCCATCCATCTTGTTCACCTCGTCTCTAGTGGTCCTGGCTTTGCAGCCGTTCGGATTCCTGCCTGAACACTGAGGCAAAGAGGGGGCCTCTGCCCCCACTGTCCTGTGACGCTACCAGCCCTGAGCCCAGTGTGGGCCCGGGTTCAGGGCCCACAGTGATTTACGTAAAGTCAAGCGGTCCACGAAGAGCAGCGGCTCATTAAAAAGCATGGCAGACAGGTCTGCATAATGAAATTAGGCCTTCCCGCTGTCAGCTGAGGCCCCTGGACTCGGGCCCGAGCCAATTCTGGGGCTAATTGTGAAACCTGGACTATAGTTCTCAACCTTTTAATCACCGCAGGAGTGAAACAAGGGACGAGTTAAGTGGACTTGAAGGCCGAGTACAGGCTGAGGATGGAGGTGTGGGTTTTATTTTTCGTTACCAGGCTTCCTGGCAGAGAGCGGAGCCTGCAAACAGGTTCATCACCTGTTGTTCTCTGCGTCTTTTATCTGCTTCCCGCCACCGTAAATCATCCTGGGAAAGTGTCGGCATCCCTGGCCGCTGCTCAACAAGAGGAATTATTAGATCTCTGTCCCTCAGCTTTCGTTCAACCTGAGCCCGTTAACACTCGTGTGCGCTGATGCCTTCTGATGTGGGGTCAGGCTCCGGCCAAGGAGTGGCAACTCTTTCCAGTTTGTCTAAACTCCAGAGACTCCCTCCAGGGGGGTCACGCAGTCAGTTGGCACTGCCGTCTTAAACCCGGCCACAACCCTCTCCCTCCTTCAAGATGCCATCAGTTTTTTTTTTTTCTTTTCTCTGATGTCAGCCCCGACCAGCAGTCAGACATCATGGGGCGACTTGACAGTGGGCCCTCTCATTAAAACCTGAAGACGGTGGAAGTGACACTAGAGCGAGCACAGCAGCTGATGGCAGTCGTTCAAAATGTCTTTTTGCCCTTAAAAAGAGAACTTCAGACTTTTCCCAACTTCAAAGATCGATGAAGAATTTGAAAGTCATAACTGTATTTTACATTCTTGCCCACTCTGATCACGGTAAGACAGATTTCTAAAGGAAATCTCACTTTGTTTGGCTATCAATTTTTTTTTTAAATGTATTTTTATTTGTTTGTTTATTTTTTGTGCTCTTTTTCTGTGGAGAAGCCTCAGGTGTATGCTTAATTTGGTCCATCTCCCAGATGTTTTCCCTCATTGATTGGTTTAGGCTTAATGCAGCAGAAGGTTTTTTTTTTTTCTTTTTTTTTCTTCACTGAGCTTTGACTCCTGGCGGAACCGTTTCTACTCGGTGTTCTGTCCGTACTATCCCGTGTCTTTCTCCACATCCTTCTCAATGCCTGGTGTGCTGCCAGCATGAGTAACTCTACTCCCTGCTGTGGGACTGCAGAAACAAAAACGCATAGAGGCCTTTGAGGTGGGCAGAGATTCGAACTCAGGGCGCAAGGTCAGTGTGTGTAGGCTCTGGGCGCCAGAACACAACAAGGCTGGAATTGTGCAACCTGTGACTTCCTTGGATTTGTTTTGGAGCCGCTACTTGAAGATGTTCCCAGAGTCCTGTATGCTTCCTGGGTTTTGTGAGTTAACGTTTGGAGGGGAGCCGTTTTCGTAGACCCCTAACCCATCTTCTCACCGTCTGCTACAGGTCATCGTTTCGAGGATGTTCCGGGTGTGCGCAGGCATCTCGTCAGAAAGAGCACCAAAGGACAAGTGGTGCACACAGGCAAGGACCACAAAGAGCCCACGACTCGCAGCCGAAAGCAGGACCGCACTCCTCATGAGGTGAGACATTCCAGTGGTGCCCCACAGTCACCCGACAAGTGACATAACAGCAGAGCATTCTGTTATTAAACAAAAGAGACTAAAGATCACACTGTGCCTAATATAAACGAGTAACAATGTCTTAAGAAACTTTTTTTTTTTTCTTCTTTTTTTTTTTTTTTACTCGGTTCAAGGTGGAAATACAGACAGGAAGAGATGCAATGATAAAAATCACTTTTTACTAAAGGATTTTTTTGTTTGTTTTTTATGGGAGTTTGGGGTGATGACTTTAAAGATTTTCAATTTTAATATAGAAGACATTTTGCACTTAAACTTATTTTGAAATGCTCCTTTTTTATTTGTTCCTAATTTGTAATCTTAATTCGTGCAATACATCTCCGTAAATGTAAGGCTGATCCTTGGAAATGTTGTCCTGCCTATCCCTCTTGAGTTTAGGCCTTCCTTTCTCCTCCGTTAATGGGACAGGGAGGGAAAGAGACTATTAAAAAATGAATGAGTGAGTTCTTTCCTTTCACATGCCTAAAAGGAAGAAAGAAGGGACAGGGGAACTGAGGTAACCAGACCCTGGGAGCTGCGGAGGAAGGAGGGAGCTATGTTTTATTAACACTCACGGGTTCTCGTATACAGCCTCATGCTGGTGGCAGCCAGGTGAACGGGTCCCTGCCAGGTGCATGTGCTGAGGGAGGGGGTACCTGTGGATATGTGTGTGAAAAAGGGGGTCCCGCCCTTTGGGGTGCCATCGGTTGGGCCGGTGTTTGAGTATTCTCTTGCATCGTTTCGCTCCCTCAGCCGCTATCGGTGGTTCTTTACCGCTCGCCCTGGCGGCCTGAGGGCTTCCTGCTGGACATGGATTCTGTTCGTATGGCCGGTTACCAGCAGGTGAGGTCGGGTGACCGGCCACGGCCAGGTTTGATCTGCGTGTGTGTGACTTCACAGGCATGCAGCAGGTGCATAAAGGCACAGAGAGGCAGATCAAAGGCTTGGTCTTCCCCTCCTTTTGGTCCTGATACGCAGCGTTGAGACTCACCAGCATGGTGTTGCTTTAACCTTGTTTTAACAAGCTCTGGAGGGACAGCTGCTGCTAGGACACTTGGCAGTTACAGACACACAAATGTTTAATAGCCCCAGCCAGGAGGAAAACAACGAGACCATCAAACCGTCAGACTTGTAATCTAATTTCGTAATAGCCTAAAGTCATTCAACCTTCCAGTTGTTCTCAAATATAATCATGAACAAATTACTTTGCTTCCAGCTGAATTATAGGCTGTTTGAAACCATCTGTAAAAATAATATTGACATTTTATCAATAATATTGAACTTATTATTAGTTTGAGTTTCTTTTTTCTTAATCTTTAATTTATTTTAAGACAACTTGTTGTTGTTGTAGGCATGATGTTTTCTTGCCATCAGGTTCCATGTGTAAAATCTGAGTGAACCGGCTGACCAGCCAAAGTGTTTTCGTTGCTTGCATGTGCTTATTTTTTTCTTTCCCTGCAGTGTGGATGTTTCTGACTCACAAACTAACCTACACCTGACTGCCTGTAATTTTGCTTCTAGGTGTTTGTGGAGTTGAACGAGCTGATCATGGACAAGAACCAGGAGATGCAGTGGAAGGAAACGGCCCGTTGGATCAAGTTTGAGGAAGACGTAGAGGAGGAGACGGACCGCTGGGGGAAACCTCACGTTGCTTCGCTGTCTTTCCGCAGTTTGCTTGAGCTCAGAAAGACAATCTCCCATGGTGCAAAACAAATAAAACCGTAGATAAGTGCATTTTCACACCCCAAATCAGTGCTGCCTAAACTTAGCTCTGTTTGCGTGCGTTTGCAGGTGCGGTGCTGCTGGACCTGGACCAGAAAACCCTGCCTGGCATCGCTCACCAGGTGGTGGAGAAGATGATAATTTCTGACCAGATCAAAGCTGAGGATCGAGCTAATGTCCTGAGGGCTCTGCTGCTTAAACACAGGTGACAGGAAATCACGATGCTTTCTCCACCACGCATTACAGTTCGTCTGCAGAGTCTGTTCAAGAGCTGGCATTTTTCTGTCTGATAACCTCCAATTTATACTTTAAAAAGAAAACGTTTCAAACAATCATGACAAAACACAACTTGCTCAGTGACGGTACACGATATGGCATTTTTAATAGCTCGGTAGTACATCCTGGCACCTCTAATCCTCCAATATTATTGGCAAATGGCAAACGGGACCTCTTGCCCATAAACATGCAGCTATCATTTGCTGTCAGAATGCAAACAAATGACGGTACCTACTGTTATCTCCTTGGTTTGATGTCTGCTTCTTTAAGTTGGACATCTCGAAAGATACGTTTGCATTTTCGATAACAAACAGCGTCTTGTGCATTTTGGGTCTTAAACGGCTTTTTCTTGCCCTCCAACACACCTCCTGCTATTAGGTGGCTTTATGCTTGGACTCTCCCTCTCCTCCTCCTCCTGACCCTCTCTCTGCCTCTCCCTGCTTCCCCAAGTCACCCGAGCGATGAGAAGGAGCACACTAGCCATTTCCCCAGAAACATCTCAGCAGCCAGCCTGGGCAGCCTGATAGCGCACCACCACACGGCCAACCACAGCCACCCGCAGGAGCCCTCGGTCACCGACCCCCTCATGGGGACCGCCAACTCCACAGAAGACACGGAAACGCGCATCGACATGGACAAGAACGAGCTCCAGGTAGGTGGAGGTCCAAAGTGTTTGACAAAACTCCCAATCGCCCGCATTCATCGTCATTTTGGAATCCCGGTTGCTTTGAGCAGAAGGAGCCGACTCTGACGCCCGGCATGCATCGATCAAAGTCCAAACATGAGCTCAAGCTGCTGGAGAAGATTCCTGAGAATGCCGAGGCCACAGTGGTCCTTGTGGGTGAGTTCCTGAACAGCTGCCCAATGAGCACATCTCGCCTCATCTCCAGACTCTGGCTCGTCTTTTAGCTTTTGTCTCCCTGCGTGTTGACGTTCTCTCTGTGATCCTCCAGGCTGCGTGGACTTCCTGGAGCAGCCCACCATGGCGTTTGTGAGGCTGCAAGAGGCGGTGGAGCTGGAGTCCGTCCTGGAGGTGCCGGTGCCGGTCCGGTTCCTCTTTGTTCTGCTGGGACCGCCGACCACCAGCATGGACTACCACCAGATAGGACGCTCCATCTCCACCCTCATGTCTGACAAGGTAGGCAGGAGACAAATCCATCTCTGTTTGTATCGTAATCAGATATGGCATTTACACTGAAATACACTAAAGATTGAGTTTATGAAATATGGGAAAATAAACCACGAGTCACCGTTGCTGTGAGCAATAAAAGCCCCGCTGCTAAATTTACATCTGTTTTTAAAGAAAGCATGTGTTATTCTGGCTGCACTCAGTTAGAAAGAAACTTGAATGACTGCAGATCAGGTCTGTCTCATTTATAGCTCAAATTTCTATGTATCTCGTTTCCCATCCAGCGATTTCATGAGGCAGCTTATCTGGCAGATGACAGGCAGGACCTGCTGAACGCCATCAACAGCTTCTTAGACTGCAGCATCGTGCTCCCGCCTTCGGAGATGGGAGATGATGAGCTGCTGCGCTCCGTCGCCCGTTTCCAGAGGGAGATGCTGCGCAAGAGGGAGGAATTGGAGGTCAAACTGTTGGCCAAAGAGGCCAAAAGCCTTGAGGAAAAAGGTGAGCAGTTTATTTCGTTTTCTTTTTTTATTCACACGTGTGTGGCGGTGTCTGATGACCAGCTCGGTCTGTCTCCCAGAAGCTCTGCTCACGCCTCTGAAGAAGTCGGACGACCCTTTGCAGCGCACGGGCCGCCCCTTCGCCGGCCTGATACGAGACGTGCAGCGCCGCTACCCAAAATACGTCAGCGACTTCAAGGACGCCCTGAACAGCCAGTGCATGGCCGCCGTCATCTTCATCTACTTCGCTGCCCTCTCTCCCGCCATTACATTCGGAGGCCTGTTGGGTGAGTCCCTGAGGGAGGTTTGATCTGGATTCAAATCCGGCTCGGGTCTCGGTGTACGCGCTAAATGTGGGTGATCTGGTTCCAGACGAGAAGACGGAAGGCTTGATTGGCGTCTCGGAGCTGATCGTGTCCACGGCCGTGCAGGGCGTCCTCTTCTGTCTGCTCGGAGCTCAGCCGCTGCTGATTGTTGGCTTCTCTGGTCCCCTGCTGGTCTTTGAAGAAGCATTTTACAGTGTAGGTGCACTCATTGTGAAAAGCATCTCCCCCTTCTGTGATTCTGGAGATTTCTAAGTGAAATATTTTCTCCTGAAAACAAATACTTTGGCTCAAGAACAAATTACTTTTCATGTGAAATAAAAATCATCTTAAAGTTTCCATTTGGTATTCAAGCATTTTGTCCACTGATTTGTCTCTCCCAAAAAATAATAATAATGTTTTACATTTCATTTCATGTACAAGCTATTTTTAATGTCTCTTTTTCCCCTCACAGTTCTGCAAAGCCAATGCCATAGAGTACCTGACGGGCCGCGTGTGGATCGGCTTCTGGCTCATCATCATCGTGGTGGTCACCGTGGCCTTCGAGGGCAGCTTCCTGGTGCGCTTCGTCTCCCGCTTCACCCAAGAAATCTTCTCCTTCCTCATCTCCCTCATCTTCATCTGCGAGACCTTCATCAAGCTTGGCAGGGTACGGTCCCGATTCCAAGAAACGTCTGTTGGCATGCGGCGCCGTTCGGCCGCTGACGCTGAGCCGAACAGATTAATCTCTGGCGGTATTCACACCGACTTTGTTTTTCTAACGAGCCTACCTGAAATCTTTTGTGACCGATGTGCTTTGAAAGTTGAATGGTTCGAAAGTTTAACTATTATCCAGGCTTATGGTTTTTTCGAAGGATTTTTGCTATTTTTAGAACTGACTTGAACGGACTTGAAAGGCCATTGGAAATGGACTTGTTCCTTTTTTTTTAAAGTATGTCTGCGGTAAATGGAAGGAGCTGTGTGTGTGAATGTGCACTTCGTAACGAGATGGTCCATGTGCAGATTTTCAAGGAGCACCCCCTGACGCGCTGCCCGCTGGTGAACGCCTCTGAGGGCGCGCTCTCCATGGAGCCGAGCAACAGCAGCCTACCCGGGACGGTGACGGGGGAGCCCAACACGGCGCTGCTGTCGCTGGTCCTCATGGCGGGAACCTTTTTCATCGCCTTTTACCTGCGCAAGTTCAAGAACAGCGCCTTCTTCCCTGGAAGGGTGAGGCTTTCCAATCAGTCTTATGCAACACTACCACGCCTCTTTGGAGGCCAAAGTCCTGGGAAGACTTGAACTTAAAAGTAATCGAATTTGAAGAGGAATTAAATAACTACTCGTGTGAGTTTGTGGCCAAGGACTGAATATGTGTCAATACACAGAATGGCATGTTTTTTCAACAAAAAAAATAGAAAATTTCAACCTTAATTTAAAAATTTGTTTAAAATCCAGATGAGTTTTACAAGGTAAAAGGAAAAAGAGACACATACACCCGTCAGAAAGTGCATTCGATGACTGGTGACTGTATTTTTCAATTGTGGCTTTTCTCTGTTTCCATAACCAAGATTTATGCTTTTAGAGAGTTATGTATCCATTTTAAAAACGAGCTGAGTGGAACACCAATTCAGAGAAAACCCTCCAGGGTTCAGTCTGCCTCTGTTTCTTCAACCCCTTAACAAACTGCTTGGTGGTTTTTGGTTTGTAAATGTCACTGCCTTCCTGTAGCTCCGCAGGATCATTGGAGACTTTGGTGTACCAATTGCAATCCTCATCATGGTTTTGGTAGATTACAGCATCCAAGACACCTACACACAGGTGAGTCTCGGGGGATTTTGTTCGTCTCCGTGACTCAAACCACTGAGGGAGAATCACGTCCTCATATTCTGTCCAGAAACTGAGCGTTCCCAGAGGATTCTCTGTGACCAGCCCCGAAAAACGAGGCTGGGTCATCAGTCCTTTGGGCTCAGACGGTGAGTTCCCCATCTGGATGATGTTCGCCTGCTGTTTGCCCGCCCTGCTGGTTTTCATCCTCATCTTCATGGAGACTCAGATCACCACGTGAGTACTGGAGCAAAACTCCCTTTTGCTTTTCTTTTGATGCAAGTTGGTAAATCATCGTCTAAAATTGACTAAAACTTAACCCGATCAAAGTCTTGTTTAAACATTTCTCTTTTAAAATACAATGTTAAGTATCTCTATACAAATGTTGATAAAGGCCTTTTAAGGCAGTCTGTTTATGAAAGGGAATATTTTTTGTTTTTTGCTGGTGAATTAGATTTGAATTGGGTTCATTTCTCTTCTGTATGATGAGATAAGCATATATTTTAACAACTTTTACATCCAAAAACTGTATTTATTCCAGCTGTACTACTTATTGAATAGACAGTTTGTGTAAATAACACAACAGTGGGCTAAAGTCTGTGAATCATTAATCGCATTAAAGGTGTAGGTGCGAGCCTGTTTTGACTAAAGGGTCCAATGAAGCGTAAACATAGAATATCGAACTCATTTAACATTGTAATCCGTTAAACCGAGGCAATCCACTCTGTGTTGACTCGAAAAAAGAGGGTTTCTTTGATTCTGGGGGGAATCACCAAAGGTTTCCTCTGTTTTTCCGTCTGTGCAGCCTCATCGTCAGTAAGAAGGAGCGGATGCTGGTGAAGGGCTCCGGGTTCCACCTGGACCTGCTGCTCATCGTGGTTCTGGGCGGCAGCTCGGCGCTGTTCGGCCTGCCGTGGATGGCGGGGGCCACCGTGCGCTCGGTGACGCACGTCAACGCGCTCACAGTCATGAGCAAGGCCGTCGCCCCGGGAGACAAGCCGCGCATCCAGGAGGTGAAGGAGCAGAGGGTCACCGGGCTTCTGGTGGCCGTCATGGTCGGTGAGTGCTGCTCCTCCGGTCCGTGGGAATGTTCAGTTCAATTTTATTTCAATAGCACCAAATCCCAACGGCAGTTATCTCCCAGCTTTCCAAACAGAGCAGGTCAGACGGGAATCTGAAGTTATTTACAGAAGCCCAACAATTCCCAAGAGCAAGCACTAGGCGACACAGGCAAGGAAAAACTTCCTTTAAGAGGCAGAAACCTCGAGCAGAGAGAGCAGGGGAAGGCAGCATACACAGAAACACAGAGGCACAGACAAATGAAGGTAGTGCTGCTATAGACTGGATGAAAAATAGTCCAGATATTGATATTTATGATAGTAATGATAGCAGTAATAATAGCAAAATAAAAGGAACAGTAGTTGTAATTGTTGCAAAGTGGGAACACGGGGCAGCAGGAGACTCCCAACCATAGATCCAGACTCCACAGCTCCAGGAAGTCCTGCAGGAAGGGATGGCGAGGAGAGGAGAGGAGAGGAGAGGAGAGGAGAAAGCACAAGACTACGGAAAAGGGGAAAAAGTCCAGTTAGTAAAACGCATTGAGGTTGCACTGAGAGAGAAAAGAGGAGAGGGGAGCTTGGTGCATCATGGGAAATCCCCCGGGCCGATGGCAGCCCGTCTAACTGTCTGAACACATTTGACCCCCCCCCCCACAGGGATGTCCATCGTGATCGGCGACCTGCTGCGTCAGATCCCGCTGGCCGTGCTGTTCGGCATCTTCCTCTACATGGGCGTGATGTCGCTCAACGGCATCCAGCTGACGGAGCGCATGATGCTGCTGCTCATGCCGCCCAAATACCACCCCGACCACACCTACGTCCGCAAGGTGAGCCTCCCCCCCCCCCCACCCCCCCCCCCCCGCCCCGGTCCTGGTCTGCCCCCCCCCCCCTTCCCCCCCCACCTCTCCCCAGGTCCGCACGCTGCGCATGCACCTGTTCACCTGCATCCAGGTGGTGTGTCTGGCCGCCCTGTGGGCCGTCATGTCCACCCAGGCGTCCCTGGCCTTCCCCTTCGTCCTCATCCTCACCGTCCCCGTCAAGATGTTCCTGCTGCGCCGCATCTTCACCGTCAGAGAGATGGCCTGCGTGAGTTCACCCTTCTTGTTTCCTTTATGAGCTGTCGTAAACCAGGATATTTGTCGTTTGTTTTTGGGCAAACTGCGCAGGTTTTAAAGGCTGTTAAATCCCTCCCACTGCTGCCGCCCTTGTTGCATAGAGATGGTCAGAATATGGATAAGAAGAGAATTTAGGTTTAGACCTGAGTCTGTTTTTCTTAAGTTTGATTTAGCCCAGGGGTGTCAAACTCCAGTCCTCGAGGGCCGCTGTCCTGCAGGTTTTAGAGGTAACCCTTTTTCAACACACCTGATTCACATCAAAGGGCCATTAGACGGGTGCAAAGCTCAACAATGTCCAGAGGAGATCCAATTTAGGTGTGCAGAAGCAGGAAAAAGTCTAAAACCTGCAGGACAGCGGCCCTCGAGGACTGGATTCTGACAACCCTGTTTTAAAAGCTGTTAAATCCCTCCGACTGCTGTTGCATGGAGATGGTCAGAATAGGGATAAGAAGAGCATTTGGATTTAGACTGGACTCTGTTTTTCTGAAGTCTGATTGAGCCTCATGTGTCGTCTTCCTCTCACAGCTGGATGCAGACGACGCAGAGCCAAAGTTTGACGAGCGCGACGGACACGATGAGTACTCGGAGATGCACATGCCGGTGTAGCCCCCAGCGGGCCCTCGCAGCCACTGACCCCCCCCCCCTCATCCGGTACCCAGATCTGGGAGTCTGTTCGGACGAGTTCAGGGAGGAGATTCCGAAGGGCCTTGTTAGTCGTTTCAATATTTATGAGGTCGATCTGCTGGTTGTCAGCAGTTTGTTGCTCTGATGAACAAAGTAAGATGGGCGTTTGTTCATTCATGACATGCTTTTTTAATTTTTGTTTTCTTTAATGTGTATTTCAGGGGACAAGAGATTTCAAATCAATTTATTCAAATCTCCAGCTCAAATTTATACATGAAGGTAGTTAAATTAGCAAAACTGATTAATTTTTAGCCCTGAAAAGTTGCTATGATTCACATTGAATATGTGGAGGATATATAGGATACATTCCTTTTAACATTAACATGCAAGTGGTAGTTTTTTATTCTTTATTTTACTCTCACAAAGCGCCTTATGAAGGACACTGAACTGTTTTTTTTCCTCATTCTGTCATTGAGACAGCTGACAGCTGATAAACAAGGCTGGTAAACACTTTTTTTTTATTTTAGACTAAACAAATCTGAACAATGACTAACAAAATAGTTTTTTAGCCTCATGGTGTCCTTGTAAACCTCTTACTGACCTAATTATTTAGATATGCTTCTTAACTCATTTTTACCCTGGCCTTCCTTAGTTATGCATTTCTTTGTATTCCAATCCAACAGTTTTATTGATTTTCAGCTTTAAATGTCAGATTCTGTACCTGCAGCACCAGCAGAGGGAGATCTTGGACTGTTATGTTGAAGATGCACCAAAAATCTGAACTTGAAAGGGCAACTTTGCCACTACACTAATGCCACGACATCCGTCTCTCCACAGACGTACTTTTCTTTTTATTTTCTTTTTAATTTTTTTGTGACACACTATTGACGCAGTAGCCTAATAAATACACTCTAAATGTCTCCATGCACATGTTTAGGGCACTAAAGCACTAAAATGTTTCACGTGGTGTGGTTGCTGGTTGGTTTAATGAATTAGTTTCTGTCCGAGTGCCAAATGTCCAGTGTACATTTTTTTTTGTGGTCAACATAAGCTGCAGTTCAGTCATCTCTACTCTGTTTTTTCTGATTTTGAAGAAGCCAAAATCTTCGCGTTTTTGATTCCATGTTTCCAAAATTCCATGTTTCTCCAGTAGCAATTGCATGTTTTTAAACATTTTACTTGCAAGCATATGAACCTGGTCAACCAAATTACCGAACAGGCTGTGCAGACAATCTCAATAAGAGGGAAGGCTTTTAAGTGTGTGTGTGTGTATATTTACATATATATACAGCACAATTTATTTTTTCTCTTTTTAAAAAAAGTTTTGCATCATGCTGTATCTGGGCAACGTGGAATGGTTAAAACTTTGACTGTGTCAAAATGAAATCCCTGGTCTTCTGTTACGCTCCGGCTTTTCCCTCCAGCGTGTCTCCGCCTGACTGAAGGTGTGCTCTTGTGCCTGTGTGGTGTTAAAATTGCACAACATCTCCTGTGCCTCCGGGGGAAGCGTGAAGCGATCAGCTACAAGTGTCTTGTGTGTTTTTGGACGGTGCACGTTTCAGTCTTTAGCACTTTTGAGACGCTCATCAAACATCTCTGAATTATTTATCTGTTGCAATGTGTGACGTAACTTCTGTTGAGACATTTGACGGATTGATTTTTTAGGTGTGAGAGCGCTTAGCTGCACTTTGATCATGCCAATGAAGGGGAGTAGTCTGAGAAATGGGCAGTGTTATGCTTCTGATAATTGTACCTGTGAAGTTAGTGTATTTTTCTCATCGTGTCTTTAAAAATATTTAGATTCATTTTAGAAAGCAATACATAGTTCACCAGACTTGCCGAGGCCTCCCTGTACATTAATGGTTCTGACATTGATGACAAATAAATGTTATTTTATATTTATGCAGTTTTTTGTGATTATTAATGTACTCAAATGTCATGCGCAAGGGATGTAAGGATGGATTTAATTTGTCTGATTCAGAGGCACTTTGTTTCATGAAATCCACTCAAAGGTAATGCCATAAAGATATTGTCCACTTAAACTCTTTGAGTACTCGTCTGCTGCAGCTATGGAGGAATTTCCCATGAATACATTCCGACATGTGGTGATGAGAAATGTGCCGAAAAGTTTAAGTAGACGGTTCTGAATCCAGCAAATAAAATAAGGTAGGCAGAAGATGACCCTTAAAGACAGGAAGTTTGACACAAACTCTCAACAGAAAATACGCACCACTTATAATCTCCAAAGCTTCTGAAACGAAGGGAAAATCTTTTTTTCTTTTATAATTTTACATTAAATATGGACCGAAACTGTAGAGAAATGTGGAGAAACTATTAGTAAAGCAGTTATTTTCTGTTTTGTCCTCACTGCAGTGTAACAACAGCCGCAATACAACTAGTTAAACTCTTCCTTATAAATAAAGACTTGAGTTGCAGGAAGCTTTAGTTGCTCTTTACTGTGGCTCTTTTCTTAGTAATACTAGGTCAGAGTGAAAAGACGTTGCCTCTTTGAGGTTTACAGTGATAAATTTATGCCGTTGAACACAAATGTAGTAAGTACAAATTCTATCAGCCTCCTAAAACTGTCTCTAACTGAAAACAAACTTGACACCCAGAAGGCAATAGTAAAAACATGCCCTTCAAAATAAGAGCTCCTTCAAAACAAATGTCCGTTTTGATTCTTGCCTGAAAGGTAACACATTTTGGTTATCAGTAATTTAGGAGTGCTGTGTTGGGAACAAGAGTTGTACCTTGTGGGGAACGGTATCATCAGGTTTAAATCTTTCAGAAAGCTAAGCATCTACGTTCCTCTGTTTCTTTAGTATTTTCTAATAATCAGATGAAGCTTTTTTATGTGTCGGAACTGGAAAATGCAGCCTTGTTTTTGATAAGAAACCAAAATGGGCATTTCCTCACAGGTTGTTTTTTCCTGGTGGGCTGGGGTTTCCTCCCTGTCTGGAACTTCAACAAAGAGGGGGTGGGCCTCTGTGCAAAGTTTTCATTCCCACAGTTACCGACACACAGAGGGAGATGGCCGCCTTCTCGCTGTGGCTTTGCAGCCTCTGGGCTTTGATATTTTCCTTAAATGCGCATCAAGCTTACGAGGAACTTGCTGACACTTACAGGAAGGGAGTGGATCTGGCCCTGGAGAAGCTCAGCTCTCATCCCACCATCCAGCATCATTTTCACTTCTTCAAAAGTGTCACACAGTCAGACATTGAGGTACTGTAACAATTTTGAGAATAAAGGGTTCTTAAATAAAGGGTCGTTTGAAGTAGCTTAACCGTCTTTTGTCCTCAGCCTGGTTTTGACGTGAGCTTCGTCTACCACAACTTCTACCTCAAAGCCACCAAGTGCCCGAAAGGAACGGTGGATTCCTCCGGGTGCCAGTTCAGAAACGACCGGGTGAGTGTGATCTGACTCGGCCTGTGGAATGCGGCCGCCTGCTGTAACTCGTCTGTGTCCTTTTTGTTTTTGTGCACCGAGGCAGCCCCTCATCGACTGCGCCGTCTGCTACAAAACCTTCAGGGGAAACATCGAAGAGGCCCCCCTGCCCTACGTCCACTGCGTCCACAGACCGGCCCTGACCGAGGTGCGGCCGGCCGGTCCCGTTTCCCACCTCGATTTCGCTCACGTCCAGAACCAATCAGATCCGAACATCTGACTTGGGTTTGCTTTTGTTTTTCTGTGGCAGGAGATGAAGGCGGCCCGGGTGGAGCACTGCAACACTCTGGCATACAGCAACGGAGCGCCCACTCTTCTGGCTGTAAAAAACAAATGAACGTTTGCCTTTAGTTTCTTTTTCCTGCCCCTCATTAGGTCACATAATATCAGATGAGATTAGAGCGATTCATCTGTGTGGTGTTAAATCTTCAGAGCGTTTTAAAGAAATAATGACAAGACTAGTTTGAGTTGGTATGTCCTCATTTCTGCTTTGTCACATCAGGCCTGTTTTTGTCTTTCATCTGTTTCGTTTGCTAATGAATCACTGATATGTGCTGCTTCATATTAAAATGATTAACTCATGAATGGGCTGTGGTTTGTGTCTTATTGATTTCTACACTGAGATGGTTCCAAACATTTAACTTTTCATCTGAGTGGCTTTAAATCCAGTTCATCCTTCTAGTTATAGTGAGGAGGGTAAAACACGATATTGCATCAAGTCAGCTGCTATCCATCAGATGGTTCATCTGAAAAAACGAGAAAAAAAGTAAAGTTGAGAGGATCAACCACATTGAAAAGATGTCTCCCTTATCACGGCCGGCCACTTTTTTGTCTAACCAAACCGCTAATGTTTCCTTTTCTTTCCTTTGAAAATACAAATAAATTCCAGACTAATATTTTTCACATATTTGCAGTTGCGATGAAACATTTTTGGACTTAAAATAACTCATGTTGCAAATCCAGGGCAGTATATGTTTTGTTTGTGAACCCGTAGAATATTCTAAGACTGCCTTGGGCAAAACGGTTTTTAAGTATCATCATCTTGTTTGTCAAGAATTTGGAAAGTGGGTGAAAGCCGTTCCAACTCGACAAGTTCCCTCACGCCACTGATGAAAACTGCTGATGGTGTGGCAGCTTTTGAATATCAGAATGTGAAAGTTCACACACTGTACAACGTTCAGCTTCTAAGGAAATACGATTTCTTTATACATCCCTTTTTTCACGTACTTTCCAGGAAAAGAACCGAAACCAACACTTGAATTGAATAGTTTGTTTTGGGAACAAAAGGCTGTTAAAAGCAGGTTCAGACCATCTCCAGGACTTGGATCAGTGAGATTATGCATGAGTGTGAGTCAGCCCTTCCCCACTAAGAATGTGCTCTCCAAAAAGCAGTTTCATTTGATGTTGTCAGGGGATTTCTGGAGACTGGGAAACAGAAAGTAAACACTGATTCACTTGTAAGTTCTACAGCCATAATAGGACTTGTTTTGGACTGAGCCCACAGAGAGGGGAGGGCACTGACCCCACGAGCCAAGCTCCTCTCCTACAGTCGGAGGAAGATGGCTGCTGGGTTGCTGTTTCTGCTTTGTTCTGCGGCTTTGCTGTACTCCGCCGCGGCTCAGGAGCCCTATAATGAGCTGCCCGCCATCCAGAAGAAGGGAGTGGATCTGGCATTAGAGCAGCTCACATCCCACCCCGGTGTGCAGCACCATTTTCGTTTCTGGAAAAGTCTGGACAAGTCCGAGATCGAGGTAAACGTTTGAGCTTAGTGCTGAAAAGATTTAACCTGTGTGGATTTTTTCTGTCACGGTGTGTGTGTGGAGAAAAACAACACGTGCCCATCGGAGTTATGAGTGTCGTGACGTGGTCAGACGTGTGTCTCAGGAACACTTTCTCACTTAAAAAACTGCTCCTTGTGTTTAAATTCTAACAAATGTGTTAAGGAGGCATCCAAAAGGTTCACCTCAAACATGATGACTCTGGGTTTTCTAAAGAGGAAAAAGACAAACGTTCACACTCAGATATTTTTGCATGTCTTCATGCCTATTGTGCAATTTGTGCTTCAGGGGATTCTGAGTAATGTTTTCACATCTGCTTCTGGTAACTTTCACTTAAAAGAATCAACTGTCAGCAGGCTTCTTTCAGAGGGATAGCTGGAACACAGAGCCAAGAGACAAAGACAACTGTTACTTTTACTCCCTCTTGAAATGTTTTTTTTAAAATTCCTTATCATGAAACCAGTAGAGGGCTTTGTCGGAGCCCCCCCACCTGCCCCTCAAACACAAAAACACGAAGCGGCTTTAGAAGCACGCAGAAACTTGAGTTCATACAGTTACAATAAATCAACTTTAAAAAGCCTGAATCCTGCATCTCCCATGAAATCCTATTTAGTCCTTCTCCGTGTTTATATTTAAGTATTCTTCTCAGATGTGCAACATTACTGTATCCATTCATTTTGACCTAAAACGAGGCCCCCTCGCCGATCTGTTCTCTCTTAGGGGGGATTTAAGGTGAAATACCTCTACCACCACTTCTCACTGAAACCCACCAGGTGCGCCAAAGGAACAGCGGCGTCCAGCGGCCTGCGCTGTCAGCCCCGCAACGACAGGGTGAGGAAAACAAAGAGGCTTGGATTTTGAATTTTTCAAAAAATATAAACCGACTCCTCCTGATCTTTGGCTGCTTTTTGAAAAAATGTTTAATTCTACAGCCGCTGATGGATTGTGCCGTTTGCTACAAAACTCTCTCGGACGAGATCGACCCCAGCACCAGCCCGTATGTCCACTGCATCCAGAGACCCAGGCTCACCCAGGTACTTCTCACTCACCTTTCCTCTGCCGCTCCCCCTTCTATTAGTGAGATTTAACATAAAAACAAATCTCATATGTACAGCCAGACCACATTTTCTGATTTGACACGTATGTGCTGTACCTTGTCAATGTGTTTAGTTACTATTGTGTGCTTAGTTTGACGTCCGTTTGTGTTTTGACTTCTACTTGGAGACTCTGTTTCATCTCAGAGAATGCAGGCATGTTTAAAAAAAAGCCATTGTTACTCCCACTGTTACAAACGGCATCAAGGAAAATTGCAGCGGAACCAAAGAAAGGCTGCCGACATCTGTTTGCTCGACTGGACTTGCATCTCAGTCCCCTTTTCCTCGTGTTTCAGGAAATGAGGACCACAAGGCTGGAGCACTGCAGAAAAATGAGCTACAACAGTGGGGCTCCGACGCTTTTGGCCTCGTCCACTGGCTAAAAGCAGCTCTCCAACACGTCCCGCTTGACAACTGCACACGGCAACCGCTATCAAAACTTAGTTAAGCTGCATGATTACTGAGTTTTAGTGGCTTCGTTTGTTCCTGTAATCGCCAGTAGAACGCTGCCGTTTCCGCTTGAGCTCCTCTGCTGCGATACGTTTGTTTCTCTTCTGGTCTAAAGGGTCACTGTATCACAGACTGTATAACAGTGTAATAAATGAGTGGAACAATCAAACATGTCAGACCTTTTTTGCTGCTTCTATTTAGGGATCAACGTGGTGGGTTACTAGAGATTTATCCATCTGTTCATTGTCCAAACATCTTTTTCCTAGTGGGGTTTCAGGGGGCTGGAGCCTATCCCAGATTGGATTTAACAAACATAATTAGAATATAAACAGCCAATACAGCAGCACCGTCAACTCAAAAAGCTACAATCAAAAGGTGTTTTATAGTCTGGAAGTGGACCCACATTTACCTTTGTTGGTTTACAAGCCAATGCTGCCTCCATTCATTGTATTTGATGGAAGAAAGCATCTTAAAACATCATACACACACAGACCCAAAGAGTGTAGGCGTCTTCCAGGGACCACTGGTGACAGCGATTCATTTCTGCATGTCTGTGCACTTTCTAAGGTTTAGGTAAAGCATTCATATTGAAATATTTCAAACTAATTTAAAAAAATCTGTGAAAAAGCCTCTCATGATCTGAGAAACGTGACTAGGTGTAAAATGTCCCATGCTGTTCATTTGAGGATTATCTCTGTACTTCGGAGCAAATTAGGAATTGTTCCTGCTTTTTAATTGATACAGTCATTTTTCCACCCTTAATGCTGCTTCTTGCTGGCTGAAATGTAAATGACAGCTATGTTCTTCCATTCCTGGATCAGATGTGCTGACGTAAACAGGATCAGGGTCAAAATAGTTTGGTCAACAGTTTGGTCAACAGTCCAGTAGGGGGATCCTCCTAATATTTTTTGCTCCTCCTCCAGACTGCAAGTATATAAAACCAGAGGTTTCTCTTTTCTTTATTACTTTTACAGCTGTCTGAGTGGAGTGTGACTTTCAA